TTGCAATTAGATCAAAAAATAAAAGCAAGTCCTATTCTGAAGTAAAAGATGACCAAATTCGGCTTTCTGGCGCACTAGGAGCAGCACTAGACGCGATTGCCGTTGCTCACGATTTAGACATGACTCTGACAAAAGATCAATCGATTGATGGTACCATAACCTACTTTGATTGATATAGAAGTGTTTATTAATATTTTTTTTTTTAGGAATGTTAATTATTGTAACACATTTTTTCAGAATTACATGACCCTTTAAGACAATTAGTAATAATGTCAGAAAATGATAAAACTGTCGATAAAAGCCAAGTAGAAATAGTGGCGAATGCAGCAGCAAAAATTGCAGTAAGTTTTAGTTCATCATTGACAATTTATTTAAAAAAGAGCCGTTTATATAGTTATCTTTAAATTTAAGTAWATTTATTCGAAAAATATTTATTTAGAATCAAGATTCTATAAAACCGATATCGATTAATTTAGAGCAACAAAATGATGGTAAGTATAAATTGATTGTTATATTCTCTTAAGTATGTTTTTAATCATTTATTTTTGAAATGCTAGTAAAAAATGACAAAATTAAAATTTCAACTTCTGGTAACACAATCACAAATAAAAAACTTTTAAACAAGCAATCTAAAAATTTAAGYATGTATGGTTCTGAGAGTCAGGACATGTCAGTAGATAAATACAGCAAAGCAATTGTAATTACAAGAAGTATTTCAACTCAAACTGGAGGTATTGGTGTCATTGAAAAAAACGAACGACAGACAATAAGACCAAAAACTGCAAAAATAAATCGGTATGTATTCAACAATATAATATTGAAAGATCAGTTTTGAATCATAAGTAATATTATATTCATATTTGAGTAAAAATGTTTGTACTTATACCTGATAAATAAACTATATTCGGTTTGAAATGTGCTGGATCATATATGGGGAATTTTAATAATTTACGTCATAATAATATATAATTTACCAAAATATAAATACCTATATAAAATATTTATATTTATAATTATTATTTTCATTTTCAAATCAWAAGTACCTATAYATACCTATTATTAACACTTATTCCACGTACATTTGCAAACTTATTTTAATTTTTTTTATAAACTTAAATGTATTAATCTAAATTTTTTCAATAACTTTCTTAGAATCTTTTCACTTTTGTCTCCACTTTGGTCCAATCAAAATAAGAATAAAACGGATTACAAGATAATGCATATAGTAGAAATTATAGTTTTATTTTTTTTGTATTTCAGCCCATAACATTGGTTTAATAATTAATTATTAAACCAAAAATTGCATCATTAAATTACAAAAAAGTTTTAAAAAAAGTTAGGGAAAAGTTTTGACTAAGTCTATAATAAGTAGAATTATAAATTACTTTGAAGTATATTATAAAACTTGATAATTATGTGGCCAACTCATTGAATTAAATTTACCTTTATAAATCATTCTATAAATACACTTAATTATATAAAGTTAATGCTATAATCACTGTAGAGACATTTATCAATTATTTAAATGAATTCAAATCTCTTGACGATTATCTTAAAACCGTTTACTGTGTCACAGCCGTAACTACCTATAATAATTAAAACTAATAATATACAATATATGTCGATAAGAATTTGAATAGTAAGAGTCACATTTTTGGGATAAATATTAGACGTGTAGACGTGAACTACAGAGTCGATAAAATATTTTGTGAAGTAGGTTTATTACCCTATAGTCTCGCTTCGAACAATACATTTGTTTTGGGTCAGACATATTAGTCATACTCATAATTTTATAGTATAATATTAAGGGGGT